GAAAGCCGGTTGAATGCCGAATGAGAGGATAATCAGCTGATGTGATGCATGCGACTGTTTAAAACACGTGCCCGCTCCCGTGTCCTTGCTTGAAACAACCGTGCCTGGAAACTGAACTGGTGTGATCGGTTCTCTTTTAAATTGACTTGACAAAAAGTTATGTTCATGCACCCACAGTCCTGCTGCTCCAGATTGGTCTTTTTGTAAGGAGCACATGTTGCTTTCACTTTAAACATTATTTGAACAGGATATACTACCTTTTTTGTGTAGTTAACTGGTGTCAACTGTTTTTTTTAAAGAAATGTTTTGTTAAATAAAAAGTGTAGTATACAGCTATATTTAGTTTGTTTTGACACATTATTTAAAATTTGTGGCTAAGAAATAATTATTGATTTATTTATTGTGTTGTTAGAGATAAATTTAGTAAATCCTTTGAGCTCTGAAAAGTCATGTGAAATAAAAACTAATTGTAATACAAAACTATGAAACCATGACCCATGTGCTCATGTTCACTGAGCAAGCTTATACACAACATACAGGAAATGTAAAATGAATTAGGAGGCATGTGGACATTCCACAAAATATAAAATATATTTTCCTGACAACAAAATTTGGCTAGTTAAAATGGCGAGTGGGTAATAATGCTGGAAAACTACTAGCCACACTGGCTGGTGATCAAAAAAGTTAATGTCAAGCCCTGTATATATATATATATATATATACTACTAAATCCTAAAACCGAATGCTTTTTTTGGGGACTTGCTATTATACTGAATTGATGTAAGCAACATTTAATCTCTCTATTTTATCTGTTCACAAAATGGCCTTAATCCTTTTTTTTTTTTTTTAAAGAAACAGATGGTGGGAAAATAAATGACATTTGCCCAGCAACACACTCGAATTGTGCTCTTAAATGCTGGACAGCCTGAGATACTCAGTTAATGTTCTTTCACTTGGCAATGGCCGCTGTGTTTCCGCTCTCTTCCACTGCTCTCATTAGCCAATGGCAGAAAAGTTCCTCTTCTTTGCGCCAATCAGAAGACAGCATCCCACCGCCTGTCACTTCATTAATATTCAGCGACTGCAGTCCCTCATCATGGGCTCAGGTGGTGCACAGAACAGAGCGGGAACATGCGAACAGTGTGAATACATAACACACACACACACACTGCTCACATCAATAATACCCCTTCTATCTGGATTCTGACGGTTTCTTCTGCTTTAAAATGGGGTGAAAAGCAACACTGAGTCACATTGCCGAATGAGTTGTCTGTTATGAGGGTAATTCAGTTTTGCTAAGCCTCCTTTAATTTTATTATTTAAAATGAATTTGTTTTGCAAAAAAATTACAATTAAACATCTTTTATATGAGATTATTATATAAGATATTTGTCTCAGAAGCAACATTATTAGGATATGTTTACTGAGGATATTTTCAAGTGGTTTTTACACCCTGTTTTTAGGCAGTTTTAATTATAAGCAGCATTATTTTTAATTTAATGTAACAACTTCTAAAACACTATTTTATATGGGCTACTAAAGGCATTTGTTTCTTTTAAATATTATTACAATATATAATTTTATATTATATTATATATTATTTATATATATTTATACAGTTGAAGTCAGAAATATTAGCCCCCCTGTCTATTTTGCTCCCCAACTTCAGCATATTTCTAAACATAATAGTTTTAGTAACTCATTTCTAATAACTGATTTATTTTATATTTGCCATGATGACAACACTTAATATTTTACTTGATATTTTTCAAGACACTTCTATACAGCTTAAAGTGACATTTAAAGGCTTAACTCGGTTAATTAGGTTAACTAGGCAGGTTAGGGTAATTAGGCAAGTTATTATATAACGATGGTTTGTTCTGTAGACTATCGAAATAATTAAATAGCTTTAAGGGGCTTATCATTTTGACCTTAAAATGTTTTTAAAAAATTAAAAACTGCTTTTATTCTAGCCAAAATAAAACAAATAAGACTTTCTCCAGAAGGAAAATCAGACATATCAGACATACTGCGAAAATTTCTTTGCTCTGTTAAACATCATTTGGGAAATATTAAAAAAAAAAAAAAAAATTCAAAGGGGGCTAATAATTCTGACTTCAACTGTGAAAATATAATAATATTAATTGTTAAAAATGAATGTATTATTATTATATTATGGCCTAGCTTTTAACAAATAATTGTATATTATTTTTATTTTTATTATTATTATTATTACGTGTGCCTGCCTTAACTGTACATGATCGTATAAGCAAGCTAATAAATAAATAATATAAATGCTAAATAAATATGATTAAAATATCAAAATAGAAATTTAGATTGCTTTATTTATTTATTTTTTATTGATATATGGACATTAAAGTGTTTCCCAGGATTGGGTTGCGGCTGGAAGAGCATCCGCTGTGGAAAACATATACTACAATAGTTGGTGGTTCATTCAGCTGTTGCGATCCCTGATAAATAAGAGACTAAGCTAAAGAAAAATGAATGAATGAATGGACATTAAGAGATGTTTTAACTGGTTACAATAAACAAGTTTTGCTTTGTGACAAGTGACAAGAGCTTTTGTCATTCATTTATTTATTTTCTTTTCGGCTTAGTCCATTTATTAATCTGGGGTCTGCATAGCAGAATGAACTAGCAACTTATCAAGCATATGTTTTACACAGCGGTTGCCCTTCCAGCTGCAACCCAGCAATGGGAAACATCCATACACTCTCATTCACACTCATACACTACGGACAATTTTAGCTTGCCCAATTCACCTGTACAGCATGTCTTTGGACTGTGGGGGAAACCAGAGCACCCAGAGGAAACCCATGCGAACGCAGTGAGAACATGCAAACTACACACAGGAACACCAACTGACCCAGCCGAGGCTCGAACCAGTGACCTTCTTGCTGTGAGGCGACAGTATACCTACATCATCCGGAGCATTGTGTGTATGTAGCTCCACCCTCCACAGAGTCTCATTGGTTCCTATTTTAAACAGTAGATACTATTTATTATGATCAGGTTTGACTATGTTGCAGCTTATTTTTTTACATTCATTGTTGGTGGTCAAATTAATTAATTAATTTATTTATTTATTTATTCATTTTCCATCAACTCTCTTTTTAAAGTGTCTATTTCAGAGGTCTCAACAGCTATTCCAGCATATGTTTTATGCAGCGGATGTCCTTTCAGCCATAACCCAGTACTCGGAAACACATCATTTTCTTATGAGTTTCTTTGTTCAGTCTTAAGAGACAATATAAGACAATTGTTTTAGGAGAGATTAGCAAAGAACAAGCTACTGTATCACTGAAATCATACACTAAAACATCTTCTACAAAAGCTCTCTCCAAAGTCACATCTTTTTTTATGTCCTCCGTCTCTTCCTCTTTATTTCCCTGGTGTTTTTGGCTCAGGAGAAACAGGAAGTAGCTGCTGGTTATTGTAATTTTGTGATATATTTATTTAAAACGAGCTTGTAATATAAAGGGATATAAGTTGTTAGTACCACTTTTTTGGTCATATAGAAATCTGAGATATATGCAAATGACATATATGACATACAAATATGCAACTTATATTTCAGAAATATTGCAAAAATGACAGCTGACAACTGTATATATATATACAGTTAAAGTCACAATTATTAGCCCCATTTGAATTTCTTTCTTCTTTTAAAAATATTTTCCAAATGTTATTCAACAGAGCAAGGAAATTTTCACAGTATGTCTTATAATATTTTTTCTTCTAGAGAAAGTCTTATTTGTTTTATTTTGGCTAGAATAAAAGCAGATAAAACATTTTTAAGCACCATTTTAAGGCCAAAATATTAGCCCCTTTAAGCTATATTTTTTCTCCATAGTCTACCAAACAAATTATCGTTATACAATAACTTGCCTAATTACCCTAACCTGCCTAGTTAACCTAATGAACCTAGTTAAGCCTTTAAATGTCACTTTAAGCTGTATAGAAGTGTCTTGAAAATATCTAGTCAAATATTATTTTCTGTCATCATGGCAAAGATAAAATAAATCAGTTATTGGAGATGAGTTATTCAAACTATTATGTTTAGAAATGTGCTGAAAAAATCTTCTCTTCATAAAACGGGGTTTAATAATTCTGAGTTCAACTGTATATATGCAAATGACATATAAGGCGTACAAGTTTACATTTGGATTTTACACACATAAAATATATGCCATAAATGCAACATACATTTAGAAAATATTGCAAAAATGGCACATTTATTTATATTCTAGCCACCGGAGTTTCAAATATGTACATATATGTTTGCATATATAATTGTATATGATCATATATGGCCATATATGAACGCATATATAACATTATAGCTAATACATTTGTACATATATGTACATATTTGTAATAAAAAAATAAAAATAAATATGACAGTGGCCATTTTTGCAATATTTTAAAAGGTATGTTGAATATGTGACATAAATCCAGAATCCAAATATATCAAATTTCTACGTTGATTATGCTCCTTTTGTGCCATTTCTGCTGCTTGGCAGCTTTAAATTCATTATATTTGATGATAAAGAGCAGCATTAATATTTTTCTAAACATCTCCATTTTTGTTTTTTGGAATTAAAGTCAGGTCTAAAATGGCATGCGGGTGGGTAATCTAAAAACACAATGCAAAGATAAATTTCCAAAAAAAAAAAAAGATATAATATCTTACACTGTTTTGCTTCCCAACTAAATCAATCCATTTCCACTATATATATATTTTTTTACCGAGAACTAAACCTAATACCAATGAAAAAAAAAGATCCTTTCCACATAAAGCAATTTGTTTTGCTCCACAGGGAAGCTCAGGACGGCAATGACTGTTCAATACAGACGTCCCCCTCTTTTTCCATGCGCGCGCGTGTATGTGTGTGTTTGTGTGTGTGTGTGTGTACGCATGCATGTGAGGGCGTGTTAATCCGCACACAGAACCATCAGCATCAACCCCCCCATTCCTCCCCTCACTTAGACACTTCCAGCTGGTGGCGAAGGAAACGCGCGTAAGATCCTCCATCCCAGCTGCCCTCCACCCTTCTCTCCGCTCTCCGTCCCGGCTCACTGCACGCTGGGGATGGGTTCAGGTAGGACCTGGAGAAAGAAAAAAGCACCACGGGGAAAGCACCGTCTCCTCCAAACGCTCATCTCTTCTTTCTCACACAAACGCAGTTCCCCAGCTTTAGCTCCTCGCTGGAACACATAGAGGGAGATTTTTTTTTTTCTTTTTTCTTCTGTGCGTGCACTCTTCAGTCTTTCTTCACTTTCTGAAAGGATACCTCACTTGGGCTTTTTTGCATCATGGCACACGCAGCATCCCAGCTGAAGAAAAAAGCCGATCTGGAACTTACAGCCGCCGAGGAAGAGAAGAAGAAAAAAAGCAGAAAGAGAACCAGGGATCCTAAGAAAAAGGTACCAGTCGGGTCAAGGTTCTGAGGGTGGCGCGTTTTCTTTATTTTGGCTGGGTGGGATGTCTGGAAGCTTCTTAAAGGTCACTTTTTTTTCTAAATCATATTTTTTTTTTGGCAAATGTAAATAAGTGTCTGGCTTTTAGACTGCAGTGATGATGATGCATCCTGTAAGAGATAGGAGATGCTTATTTATAGGGCGAACTTGTGCCTCATGAAGAAGGCGCACACTTGTTATTTTGGACTATTTTATTGGCTTTCAGGTAAAAAAATTACAGTAATTTTAAAGAATGATCTGAACTTTATCAGGTTGTAACCATCACCTTTTAATATTATAAAAAAATAATAGATCCAAACGGCGCTTGTTGGTTTGTTTGAATGCGTGTGGGTGAGTGTGTTTTTGTCTTTGATCCGTGCTGGGATTTGCTCTCCTTGTTGATGCGTGACTGGTGTCATTTTTACGGCGGGCTGTGCATCCAGACCCCCGAGGGCTCACGAACCCTCTCCCACGGGCTTTATGAAAGATTACCCAGCAACCCCCCTGTCCCGACCAGCTTCAATCCCATTACAAACCCACATCAAGCCATCCCATTATTCACAGGCTTCACCTACAGTATCTACAGGCACATCTGCTTCTGTCTTAGCTGCTCTTTTCTTATACTGAGCCGGAGGATGGATGGAAATGGTGGGATATCTGGCATCCCGTTCCTTTTGTTTACAAGTTGTTGAGACCTATGCGATACGTTCTTGATTGATTTCATTTTGGGTTGGATGCGTACAGTTGAGTTGTTCTTTTATTTTGACCGGTTTCTTAGTGTCTGTTAACGGACACTATGTGTTAATATTATATAATTCACCTTGATTGCTTCTTAAAATAGCGGCTATATATATATATATATATATATATATATATATATATATATATATATATATATATATATATATATATATATATATATATATATATATATGAATGCTTAATACATTTAGTAAGATCTGAACACTTAAAATAAATTGACTTGGAAATTGCAAGTAAAATAATTACTATTTTAATACAACAAAATAAAATGATGCAATTAAATTAAACTTTAAATAAAAAAAAAATGCCCAAAACATGGTGTTTGATCTGTTTACGTAATTAGTTTAATTGAAAACTGCTAGAAAATGTAATTAAAAAAAATCTTGGGAATTTTTATAAAGTAAAATAAAATGATGTCATTTAATTAAACTTTAAATAATAAAATGCTTAAAGCACGTATTTATATTTGTACACTAAAATTAATTGAAAATTGTCAGAAAATGTAATAAACATAAATTAAATTAAATTAAATTAAATTAAATTAAATTAAATTAAATTAAATTAAATTAAATTAAAATACTTATTTAAATGGTTGCTGCTGGAAGGGCATTCCCTGCACAAAACATATATATGCCAGAGTAGTTGGTGGTTCATTCCGCTGTGCTGACGCCTGATAAAGCTGAAGAAAAATGAATGAATAATTTGATTAAACTTGAAATGTAAAAAAATGCTTAATACATATCATTAATACATATCACGGCATGTTTGACTTGAAAATTGCTAGTAAATTTGACAAAATAAAATCAAATGATCTCAACTGTCATTGAATTGAACTTGAAATTTAGAAAAACACATTTTACTGTGTACAAAGCCTGCCAGACAACAGCGCACACATATATTGTTAGCAACCCAGGTTGGTCGCGCCCTCATGGGACATGGTGTCGTGATGGAAAGCCTCCGTCACCCTGTCAAGGACTGAGAGCTTAACTCTGGATGACCTCTGTCATTCATGTGTGTGTGTGGCTGGAAATCTACATGCTAGAACTTTACACAAGAGCTGATTCTCACTCTGACAACACACAAGGTCAGATCTCACTGTAAACTGTTGCAGAAGTTGATGACCTAAATGACCTGTATGGAAATGGAGATACAGAAGATCATATTTTGCCATAGATATGTTTTAGTAAACCAAGTAAGTTTGTCTAAAAGTCTTGGACGTTGCTGAAAATCTTTTCTGTACAAAAAAAATGCATTTTATTTTATAATTTTTTTATTTTTAATTTAATTTTTTTATTGTATTTTTAATTTTATTTTAATATTTTACATTTTATTTAAATTTTTTTACTTTATTATTTTTATTTTTATTTTATTTATTAGTATTATTTATTGTATTTTTATTTTATTTTCATATATTTTTTAATTATTTATTTTTTATTGTATTCGTTATTTTATTTTAATGTTTTTTATTTTATTTTTTATTTTTTATTTTATTTTATCTTTTTTTATTGTATTTTTTATTTTTATTTTGTTTTATTATTTTTTATTTAATTCAAATTTAATTTAGATAATGAGTAAATAAATTAATCTGTTCTAAATTTTAACATGAACTTTTTTGTTCAAAGTGCAATTCATCCATAGACTACACCTAAAATATGACAATAGCGGCAAAAAAAAACAACACTAACTAAAAATATTTTTATTTATTATTATTATTAATTATTATTATTATTATTATTATTATTATTATTATTATTAATAATAATAATAATAATAATCATAAATACACTACTACTACTACTACTAATAATAATAATAATAATGTTATTATTATTAATATTATCACTATTATTAATATTATTATTATTAACTGTAATGCTTATCAGCAATCTAGCAGTTGCAGATTGCTAACAGACTACAAGTCCGCCATTATGGACTACAAGATCCAGTCATGCACCACACACACTAACAGCTGGTTCCTGATAGTGACTGATACACACAGCCGGAGAATCGTAACAAACTGATCACATTGGACTTCAATTACATCGCACACACACACACTTCATTGCTGAGTCTTGTTATCTGTTTCTATCACGTTACAATGCGTTTTCCTTGTCTTGTCTTGCCGATGTTTTGACCCTCAAATAATCCCTAATAATTTTGAGCATGATCTTTGCACAAAAAGATGCGAAACAAAGTTCAAAAATGTTCAAATGTATTCTTTTTAAATTCACATCCATACTCAGATTGTTAGACTGATCAGATTTCCGCATCCATGCTTGTGGAACGTCCTCAAAGATGCTTCAGCTTTCAGCACAGCTTTTGTAGGTTGTTTTGGAATGAGAGCGTCTCTGTGGTTTAGTAATGGGTGCTGATGGTAAAGTGTTCAGTGTTTGAGTCTCAGTATAGCTGTGGTCGTTGCAGGTTATTGATCGAGTGGAGCAGAACTGAGAGCCAAAGCACTAGTTCTGGCCGTTAGTTTATAGATCCGTTTTCGTGATCACAGTGATTAGTGGATCTGCAGTTTCCAGTTCTGTTGGTTTAACTTGACTAGCGTTCACACAACAGCTTTTTACGTTCTCTGAAGAATATGGGCATTATATGAATGATAAAAACATGCTGTCATGGTGCATGGGTGTTGCTACCAGGTTGTTGTTATACAGCTTTTAGGTTATTTAATGAGGACATGGAGTCATGATTTAGTGCAGGGGTCTCAAACTCAATTTACCTGGGGGCCGCAGGAGGCAAAGTCTGGGTGAGGCTGGGCCGCATAAGGGATTTCACAAAAAAAAAGTCCTCAAATGTCATTATTAACAGTTTTAATTATTTCTTCTGAACATGAAGTGTTCTGAACATTAATAGAACATTGAGTGAAGATTATGAACAGTTCTTCTGAACATGGCATCTTTTGCCTACTCCTTGCTGCCAGAGACTTGACAGCGCTTCTTCTCACAAATCTGAACCACATTTGGCTTTAGAGCGGAAGCGGTTGAGACCCTCAGTATGGCTTGGGGGAACTCACTCAAAACTTCCATTCCCTCACCTAAAAAAAGGCGTATATATGTATAAATAAAACACCCCCACCCCACTCCAGTCACATCAGTCTGTACCAGTCTGTATCTACCTATAATATATATAAGATGCAGGCTGTAGCTAGGTAGGTGGCAGGCTGCAGATGGGTAGCTAAGTGGCAGGCAGGGGCGGGAACAGCTTACCTTGGTTCTGGCCGGCGCGAGTTCCCTCCTAACACTTCCCGCCCATCACAGCGTCTAACAAAGGGGCGGGGTGCGTGGTGACATCACCGGCATCCCCGCCCCTTTGTTTACACGGCGGGCGGGGAATGCCAGTGACCGCTGTGTACAGATAGAAACAGCGGAGCGGGGAGCGCTCTCTCTGCCACAAAATATTGCACTGAGGGCTGCAAATGGCCCGCGGGCCGCGAGTTTGAGACCCCTGATTTAGTGGGAAAGTGTAAGTGTGTTTATTGAATTTTATTTATTGCTATTTTAATAATATGTCCTTGAAATTGTTGACTGTGGGATTGATGGATGGATGGAGGGATTGATGGGTGGATGTATTGGTATGTTGATTGATTGATTGATTGATTGATTGATTGATTGATTGATTGATTGATTGATTGATTGATTGATTGATTGATTGATTGATTGATTATTGTATTGATTAGTTGCTTTGTCGATAGATTGACTGGTTGATGGTTGGTTGGTTGGTTGGTTGATTGGTGGTTGGTTGATATGTTGATTTATTGATTGGTTGGTTTTCTAGTTGATTAATTGATTGGTTGGTTAATTTGTTGATTTATTCATTGATTGGTTGGTTGATGTTTGGTTGCTTGGTTGATTTGTTGGTTGGTTGATTGCTTGATGGTTGCATTGATTGATTGATTGATTGGTTGGATGGTTCATTCTTTGATGGTTGGTTGATATGTTGATTCATTGATTGGTTGATGTTTGTTTTTTTTTTTTTTTGATTGATTGATCGATTGATTGATTGAGCATTGGCTGATGTATTGATTGGTTGTTTGGTTGATTCATTCATGATTGGTTGATTTGTTGATTTATTATTAATTTATTGGTTAATTTGTGAAATTGTTGGTTTTTCGGTTGGTTGGTTGGTTGGTTGGTTGGGTGATTGATTGGTTGCTTTAATTGATTGGTTGGTTGGTTGATTGATTGGTTGATTGGTTGATT